GCTGGAGACTGGAGGTGCGGAGGAGGAGGAGCCTGTTGTCAGTGGCCAGCCCTGCTACCTGGGGCCATGGTGAGGTCCCAGCCGGAACTGCCACTGAGGGCCATGTCTGAGTCAGTGGCTATCTGATGACAGGGGTTAGGGTTGATGTCTTTGACTCACCCTGCCATTCATCTGCTGTGGGGTGGCATGGTTGCAGAGGTGATAGCTCCCCATACCTCACAATGTCATAAGCTCAGGAGAACAGTTGGGAGAGCGGGCCCTACTTCTTACCTGGACAGCACAGCAGAGCACAGGGCCTCAGGTGAGCCACCCCAAAGAGCAAGAGAACTAGAGATTTGACCCCACCGCTTGTCTGCCAAGACGTGGTATGAGTGCAGAGGGGATGCCATCCTTCCTTGTCCCTCACCACTTGCCATAGCAGATGAGCTGGCCCTGCCCCTCACAGACTGCAGCACTCGGGACAGTGGGCCCTGCCCCTCACAGGCTGCAGCACTCGGGACAGTGGGCCCTGCTTCTTGTCTGAGCAACACAGTAGAGCCGGCCCTGAAGGCATAAATGAAGGATAGCTGGCCTGGGGGTCGATGTCCTCCACCTCCTCTTCCCTGACTACCTGAGAGGGTTGGGAGAGCTGACCCTGGGGTCATGAGAGTGGGTGAGAGGGCCTTGACTCTCCTTGGCTGCAGCATTTATAAAAGTCAGGGCTGGCCCTGGTCGAGGGGCAGTTTGAGCCAGACCTTAGGGTGTGAGAACAGGAGAGCTGACCCTGCCTCCTGCTAATGGCAGCATTCGGTGGCCGAGCCGAAGCTGTGTTGAGAGCTCACCTGGGAATTAGGATAAGGGAACGAGCCCAAATCCAGGGCTCTAAGTTGTCCACCCCAGAATCTCTATCATCTGCAAATGGTTGAGAGGTGTGAAAGGGCCGGTCCTACTGTTTTAAAGCTGGAGGATCTCCATGACAGGGCAGCAAGGGGGTGTCTAGGAGTCTCAATAAGGATCCAGTATGGATGGTATCACAGACGCCAGAGATCTCAAACCAGACCAGTGACTCATTGCAATGAACACTTGCAAATGAAGATGTATGAACAAAGGCATATACTGTGGGGCACACTGTGACACACTACAGCTTCCATGATGAGATGTTTTCTATGCTTCGGTGTGGTGTGTGTGTGTGTGTGTGTGTATGTGTGTGTGTGTGTCTGTGTGTGTGTGTGTGTGTTTGTGTGTGTGTGTGTATGTGTCTGTGTGTGTGTGTATGTGTGTGTATGCGTGTGTTTGGGTGGTTGGGGATGGAGTGGGGGCAGGTTACAAGGGTGAAGGGAAGACATGAAAGGAAGGGAATCTGAGCAGGACTAGGGTGCCTAATGGGATACCCACAAAAGGTCCTATGGGATGGTGGTGGGGCACACTGTTAGTCTTAGCACTTGCAAGGCAGAGGCAGGAAGATCTCTGAGTTCCAGGTCAGCCAGGGCTACACAGAGAAACCTTGTCTCAGGGAAAAAATGAATAAAAAATAAAAAAACAAAACCAAAAAACTCTTAGTAAACCTCTTAGTAAGAATCTCAAATGGTAACAATGATTATAGTGAAAACTGGTGGAGTAAAGCTAATGTGACGTGAGGGCGTGACCAGTGAAATCAGCTAGACGTTTGAAGAACAAATAAGATCGGCTCCGTGAGGAAGCACGGTTGCCTAAGTCTGCTGACATAGGTTCAGTCTCTGGAGTCCATGTGGTGGACCAAGAGACGCAACTGCATAAGTTGTCCTCTGACCTCCACTCATGTGGTGGCACACCTCCCTCACACAGAATACACATATGTAAAAAGTAATGTTTAATTAACAAGTAAGGGACTGGATTGTAGCTTAGTGATGCAGCCTTTACCTAGCTTGCACAAGATCATGGGTTCAGTACAGAAAATACAAAACACAAGTGAATTTTTAGTACAACTAACAACAAGAATCACTGTAAAGAACAAATAAATTGGTCAGGAGAGATTGCTCAGTGGTTACTACCATGTACTTCTGTTGCAGAAGACCTGAGTTCTGTTCTGAGAACCCATGTTTGTCTGTTCACAAGCACCTGCAACTCCAGCTCCAGGGGATCTGCTACCTCTGTCCTCCGTGGGTACTGTGTTCATGTGTGAATGGACATGGGTGAGCAAACACACACACGTAATTAAAAATGATAAAAATAAACCTCAAAACAATGACACTAATTTTACTTTGATAACAAAGTCTGAGAGATAGATACCAGAAAAGAAGTATATAGCAGTATTCATTATTAACATCAGTACAAAAAAAAAATACTAGTAAACTGGTTTCAGCAGCAGGTTCAAGGAATTATATATTATGATCAAAGTCAAATTGATCCTGGAATGTCAGGATGTTCAGTGTAGGAAGATCAGTTGGTACAGTGCTTGCCTAATATATATGAAGCTTTAGGTTTGATCCCTAACACTGTAAAAAACCCTACATCGTGGCATATTCCTATAATCCCAGTACTTGGAAGTAGATGTAAGAGGATCAAGAAGTTCAAAGTGATCCTCAAGTTTGAAGCTACCCTAGGCTACATATAACTGTCTCAAAAAAAAAAAAAACCAACCCAAAACATTACAAATACCTAAGTAAGGTACTTCATGTCATGGAATTATAGACATGCACCGTCACGCCTGTCTTGAAAGCAGGGTTCAAGAGATACTTGTGCATTCTTCATAGCATTATTTATGATAACTAAAGTGAGAAGTCTTCATAAAAGATGAGTGGATATGGAGATCATCATGATAGCTGGGTATGAGAAAAGGCAGAGGCAGTGGAGACTTTCCACGCAGCGGGTCCCACAAACAGGAGAAAGGTCTGGAGTTTCAGGCTGGAGGCTTTGGTGACAGCAGGCCCCACTGATACGAGGAAGTCCTTGGTTCCAAAAGGGTTTATTTTCTTGGCCGATGGTAGATGGATCTGGATGTAAAACTTGGGGCAGATCTGAGTTAAATAGGGAGGGAGAAAAGGGAGAGGGTCTGGGGAAGAATGCTTAATTGGCTCCGCCCTCTGGCCTTCATTAGCATGTAAATCTCTCTAGGGCCTGAGGCCTGTAGTCACGCCCTCTACCTGTGCACTTTGGGAGGGGCTGCAGTGGCCTATGTGACTGAACAATGTAATTCTATGGAGACTAGACTGCTTTTCAGGACCCTGGGTTCTGGGTACGAGGCCAAACACCTGCCATTTCTCCCTTGGAGTCTTGAGGTTCAAGGCCCATGCCCAGCCAAGAACTAAGATACCCTTGTGCAGTTCCACAGCTGTGTGTGGAGGCAGGTGGATCTCTGTGAGTTCCAAGCCAGCGTGGTCTACATAGTGAATTTTTTATCGTTGCTCTCTGCTCCCAGGGGGCGCACGTGGCTCTGCACCCACCCAGGAGCTCTGGGTTCATGAATGAAAATACACAAGTATGCAGCCTTATTTTTAATATCCCTTCTTGCTCAATGGTTGGGCTACTCACGTGGCTAACACACTGTCCTCCGATATTCCTGAGTTAATATTTGCTAAATCTATATTTCTTCCCTGCTACCTCAGACCCAATTTCCCAGATTCTTACATGTCGGCAGGCCTTTAAGTGTGAAATCTCTGCTTCCCTGTCATGGCGATTCTGCCCTTACCCTGTCCTGTGTTTCCTCTCGGGAATCCTCAAAGTCCTGCTTCTATCCCTCTGCCCAGCCATTGGCTGTTGGCTCTTTATTGATCAGTCAAAAAACCAACTGTTGGCAGGGACCTACAGCAGCTGCGAATTCCCATGTAAGCACAAATCAAAACTCCAACAAGAGCACAGTATAATGAGATGTATGTGTCAGGAGGCTGTAAGCAAACCCTTGGCTTTATGTACTTTAATAATTTAAAAAACAAAACAAAAAACCCCAGGAGTGGGTAAAGTCAGGCATGGTGGCAAATGTACAATAACCCCAGCATGGGGGAAGCTGAAGCAGGGGGGTGGGCAGTTTGTTCAGGGTCATCCTAGGTCTTATGGAGAGACTGTCTCAAAGCCATGCATGGAAACAGAGTAGACGGTTAACAAGTAGGCAAACTGTGTGTCTGTATAAAGGGATGACGAGAAAGAGGTTCTGGTGGGTACCACTGCATGCTTCATGGGCCTTACAGACATCGTGTTAGATAACATATGGCAGTCAGAAAAGACAAGCATGGGGCCTTCACCGTCAAGTAGGGCTAAGTAGTAAGACAGTAGCCAGGAGCCGGGTGGGGAGGGGTTCAGTGGGAGAACAGGGCTTATTGTTTGATGGGTGTAAAGCTCCCGTTTTGCAAGATGAGAATAATTCTGGAAGTGGAGGGTGATAGCATACATTATGGATACACTGTATACTGAAATGTACACAAATGGTAATCTGGGGTTCTCTATATTTTATTATAATAATAATTTTTTAAAGAATTGTTTTTTTTTAAAGATTTATTTATTTTATTGTGAGTACACTGTAGCTGTCTTCAGACACACCAGAAGAGGGCATCAGATCACATTACAGATGGTTGTGAGCCACCATGTGGTTGCTGGGAATTGAACTCAGGACCTCTGGAAGAACAGTCCATGCTCTTAACTACTGAGCCATCTCTCCAGCCCGAATTGTTTTAATTTAATATATAAGTATATATAAAATGAGTATACTGTTGCTGTCTTCAGACACACCAAAAGAGGGAATTGGATCCCATTACAGATGGTTGTGAGCCACCATGTGGTTGCTGGGAATTGAACTTGGGACCTCTGGAAGAGCAGTCAGTGCTCTTAACCGCTGAGCCGTCTCTCCAGCCCTATTATAATAATTTTTAAAAAGCAGAAATCCTAGAATGATTTGTCTTTCTGACTTTGTACACATTTTTAATCAGAAATGTATATGTTGCAGCTCAGGAACCTTCTTTCATGGTCCCCACTTTACAGCTGCTTTTTATTTTCTTCATTTTAAGTGTCTCTCTGGTCATAGTCTTTGTTTCTGATGCGTCTTCATTTAGGGGAAGATAGAGTCCATCACTGTGGTGAAGCTGCTGAGCTGCTTTGATGACCTTGTTGCAGCAGGCACTGCCTCCGGGAGAGTTGCAGTTTTCCAGCTTGTGTCTGCATTGCCAGGGAGGAACAAGCAGGTGAGTGCCCAGGCTCTATCACTGTTTCTCCTCCTGGCCAGTTCCTCAGACATTTTTAAGATGAGAAATCCTCAGAGCTGGGTGTGGTGACTCCAGCCTGTGATCCAGCACTCCAGAGGCAGAGGTTGGAGGATCTCTGTAAAGTGTGTGGGTGGCAGGGGGTCCTCATCTGCCTAGAAAGTTTATATTCAGTCTGACATCGTGCTTTTTATAATTCGGTGACATCTTTGTCCCTGCTTGGGACATTTGGCATAAAGCACAGATCAGAGCTCTTCTTTTTACTTAATGCCCTTTTCTGTTTTTTCTTTTTTTTTCTTTTTTTTTTTATCATAAGAGAGAGAGAGACAGAGAGAGAGAGATGCGGGAAGATGGGAGTGGATGCATGGGTGAGGAAGCACCCTCATAGAGGCAGGGGCTGGGGGGCTGGTTAGGAGCTTTTTGAAGGGGAAATCTGGAAAGGGGAAACAATGGAAATGTAAATAAAGAAAATATCCAATAAAAAAATACAATCAAAGAAAGAAAGGAAGGAAGGAAGGAAGGAAGGAAGGAAGGAAGGAAGGAAGGAAGGAAGAAGGAAAGCAGAGAGAGGGAGGGAAGGAGGGAGGGAGAAAGAGAGGGAGAGAGAGAGCAATAGAGAGAGAGTGTGTGTGTGTGCACGCATGTGTTCGCTGTCTCCTTCCATCATATAGGTCCAGGGATTGAACTGATATCCTCAGGTTTGGCAGAGTGCTGTTATCCACCTTGTTGGCCTACCTGTGAGTTTTGAATGTGGACAGACATGGAATCTGTACAGTTCTGTTTGGAAACCAGCTCCCCCCCCCCCCAAAGTAGTCGGGCAGTCACACAGCTCTCCTTTCCTGGGATCTCTTGTCACCTGTAGCTTCGGAGATTTGATGTTAGTGGTGTCCACAAAACCAGCATTACAGCTCTGGCCTGGAGCCCCAATGGGATGAAGCTGTTCTCTGGAGATGACAAAGGGAAGATCGTCTACTCCTCTCTAGATCTAGACCAGGTAAGGTGATTTCAGAGATGCTGGCCATCGCCGGCTTTCATCTGTAGTAGGCAGCAGTCTTGCCTCCGTGTCCATGCCCTTAAGCTGCCATAAGCTCCTACTTCTGTGACTAAAGAACTGTTCTGCAGAATCAACTGTAAAAAGTATACATGTTTGAGGCGGGCGTGGTGGTGCCCTATAATTCCAGCACTCGGAGACAGAAAATCTTTATGAGTTTGAGGCCAGCCTGGGCTACATAGAAAGTACCAAGCCAACTAGAGCTACGTAGTAAAAGTCTATGTCAAAACAAACAAAGGAACAAGTTGGACAAGTTCTCAGGGTGTCTCATGGTGTTTCGATATGTACGTGCTATGTGCAGTGTTCAACTCAGCTCTTCAAACATGTGTGCTGTTCTCCTGGCTACTGTTAAGCAAAGAGCTGGTGACCCTTCCTGATTCCTTGAAATATTGTCAGGAAGGATGCAGATAATTCTCTAGTCATGTCTGTGACCACATCAGTATGTGTATGACCCAGTGAGCTTACTTAGGGTTGCTGTCCTGAGCATGACTGTGGCTCGTTATGTACAAGAGGATGGCAATGACCAGGAGCCACACAGCTGAAGAAGGTCTCTCCTTCTCCCCAAGCGACCATTGACTGTCAGTAGTTCCTTACAGGGAGACGGGGTCTTGGGGGCCCTCCCCTATTCATTTTGGAATGTCACCGGGCCCAGTCTTACACGGGTCTTCTGCGGGTAGGCATGGCTGCTATGGGTTCATGACCACATCCCCAGAGGTAATATTCTACAGCACTCACTCCTTCCTGTCTTGGCTCTTCGATCCTTTCTGCCCTCTCCTCAGTGCTGTCCCCTGAGCCTTGGAGAGGATGATGCAGATGTCCTTTTTAGCGCTTAGCATTCAGTCATCACACAGTCTCGGCTCTTTGACCAGTTTTGAGGCTTTGCAATTAAGTTCTGCCCACTGTAAAAAGAAGCTTCTCTGACTAACAATGAAAAAAGCACCAATTTAAGGTCATAAACCTAAATATTTAGAAGGCAGTTGGATGGCCACAACCTGCCCATTTAACAAAACAACAGTAGTTTCTCCACTAGTGCCCGTGACCTCTCCAGCGCTGCGCTTTTAACCAGATTTATAATAACAGGCATGAATTCCCTCCAGGGGCACGGGCCTCATACCTCAGCAGAAGCAGACACAGCACTGTTACACTGACAAGTGAATAGTATAGCACAGGGTCACCCACAGCGGGAGGACTGATAGTGTCTCCCTCTAACACCCTGCATAGCACCACCTTCTGGCACTCTGAAAACTAAGTGGCACGAGGAAGTGTCCAGCTCAGTTCCTGTTTGATTTCCCTGTGCCCTGCATCCTAAGTGTGTAGTGTCTTCAGCAGTAGGTTCTTATCATCTAGTTTAGTGGCAGCCAAAAGCACTGGCAGAGGTTGGAGAGATGGTGTCTTAGTGTTTTATTGCTGTGAAGAGACACCATGACCACACCATGACCAAGGAACTTTTTTTTTTTTTAAGATTTATTTACTTATTTTTATGTACATGCTCTAGCTGCATGTACACCTGCTTGCCAGAAGATGGCATCAGATTGCATCAGAGATGGTTGTGAGCCATCATGTGATGGAACTCAGGACCTCTGGAACAGCCAGTACCCTTAACCACTAAGCCATCTCTCCAGCCCCCACCAAGGGAACTCTTTATAAGAGAAAGCATTTGTCTGAGGGCTTGCTTACAGTTTCAGAGGTTAGTCCATTATCATTGTGGTGGGAAGCAGACAGCCACAGTTCTGCAACAGTAGCTAAGAGCTTTATGTTCTGATCTACAGGCAGCAGGGGTAGGAGGGGAGAGAGAGAAGAAGAGGGGAGAGAGAGGAGGGAGAAGAAGAAGAAGAAAGAGGAGGAGGAGGAGGGAGGGAGAGGAGGAAGAAGAGGAGGGAGAGGGAGAGGCTTTTGAAACCCCAAAGCCTACCCCGCCACCACGGTGACATACTTCCTCCAACAAGGCCATACCTATATGAGCCTAAGAAAGCCATTCTTATTCAAACCACTTTAGATGTCTTAGAGACTAAGAGTACTGGCTGCTCCACTGAAGGAGCTGGGTTTGAACATGGCAGTTGACAACTGTCTGTAACTCGGTCCCAGGGGATCAAGCCCCACTCTATGACCTCTGTGGGAACTAGGCACCCAAGTGGTGCATAGTAACTCATGCAGGCAAAACACTCATACGTATAAAATAAACAAGTCTTTAGAAGCAGTGGCAGTAGCCCATATTGTTCCCAAGGCTTCTGAGCACTGCTTGGAAAGCAGCTCATAGAGAGGTGGCCTACCCTGTGGCTTCTGTGAGCTGCTTTAGCATGTGGGGTTTTCTCAAAAGCTAATTGCCATGTGGCATCTGAAACCCTTGATGGGTTTTCCTACCTTGTTACATGAAAACCTGTTAGTTTATCTTTCACTTTTGAGTGGATCTTTAACTTTTGAATGGTTTCAGTATCATGTGTTGTCGCTTAGTAGAATAGGCATCTCAGATGGTACAGATCTTCCAGATGTTCACACGTGTATTATATAATATTAGAAGGCTGGGGCTGGAGAGAGGACATAGAGGCTCACAACTGTCTAACTCTAGTTCTGTGTCATCTGAGACCTTCTCTGGCCTCTGGGGCATCAAGCATACACTTAGTGTGTAGACATTTATGCAGGTAAAACACCCATATTGGGGCTGGAAGGATAGCTCATTGGTTAAGAGCACTGGCGGCTCATCCAGAGGTCCAGAGTTCAATTCCCAGCAACCACATGGTGGCTCACAACCATCTCTAATCGGATCTGATGCCCTCTTCTGGTGTGTCCGAAGACAGCTACAATATACTCACATATATAAAATAAACAATAAATAAATCTTTTTTTAAAAAAAACTCACCCATATTGTATAAGATAAGTAAATAAAAAGATTTTTTAAATGAAAGAAAAGTACCTTTGTTAATAACTCCATCATGTTGATCACAAAATTCTTCAGCTTTTGGAATCTTGTCTAATTTATACAAACACAAGTTCTCAAGATTCTCATATTCACTTGAAGGTAACAAACACTGAAAGAACAGGCTCTCTTGTTTTTCCTTTTTACAAAGAAAGTGTCTGCCAGAGCCTCGCTCCCTATAGTCGTCACCCTTTCAGGTGAAATGGTGAGTGAAAACAGCATGTGGTTTGAGTGCCGCTCCTACCACGGCAGGCATGGGGTCATCCTCAGGACCCAGGGTTTCATCCTGCAGGTCTGTGTGCACACATCCCATTTGATCACATCAAGAACAAAACCTCCATTCCTTAGAGCTGAAATTACCATTTTTCTGCATCAAGATATTTTCCAGTGGAATTTATATTTTCAGTGTGAATGTGTGGTGGAGGGACAAAGACTTTTGTAAAGTTGGGTGCTGTGGTCATGGCTCATGATGAAATTCCACATGGTCTGTACAAGGCACTTCTTGTGCTCTCAGTGGAAGCATTTAGAAGGTGTTGTGTTGGGCATGACACATCTATTTAGCAAAACAGTAGTTTTAATGAAAAGACATGCAGATGAAGATATGGTGTTGATCCCAAAGATCTGAGGAGAAAGGCCACCAACCCACATCATCATGGCCACATTAGTTAAAGCAAGCTTTTTTATTCTTGAACATGAGCTATCTCCCCCTAAAGGAAGGGTTCAAGAGATCAGCATTGGACATGGCAAAATAAGGTTCATCATAGCTCAAGGGTAGGGGATTTCCAGATGGGGGATTTGGCGGGCAAATATCAGGGTTACAGGAGCAGCATGACACAGTGGGCATGACAAGCCTTTGAGACAAAGGTAGGGTTGGAAGGTGGTCATAGCAACTTTGAAACAAAGGCGTGGTTGCCATTTTCTGGAATAGGCAGTGCAGCACCACTTGTAGTTAAGGTCACAGGTAGGGCATAGCTGAGGCCTTGACTAACGAGGTCTAATCATAGACAGGAATGAACCTAGTTTGTCTTTACTATAAGATGGCTTGTAAGCCTAAAATGCAGGCAGGTTTATCAATAGTTCAGAGGTTAAAAGCACAGGCTGCGTTCCCCAAGGACCTAGATTCATTTCTCAACAGTCACATGATAGCTCATAACCCTCTATAACTGCAGTTCCAGGAGACCTGACGCCCTTGTCTAGCCTCTCTTGCCTACCAGGCACACAGATGGTATCAGATATACCTCATGCAGAACACCTATACACATAAAGTCAAATTGAAAACGCTTAAGCTAAGAGGATATTTAACATCTTGGTATTCTATGGAAATGAATTTGGCCTGGTATATGCTATAAAAGAGTCTTAGTCTCAGGGATCCTAGGGTGAGTGGAGCCACTTAGAACTGCTGCTCTGTGGGACCATCGCTGGCACGGCTACCAAGGGTCTTCGATTCTGCTCTCCCCCGGTGCTGCTAAGGAGTTGTTGCTGCTTGTCATCTACTGTTACCCTGTGAGCAGGCTGCTAAAGAAACTGAGAGAAGGCCATTCGGGTCTCACTGCTCAGCAAACTGAAAGGAAAGAAAATTGGGGGAAGAAATCAGAAACATCCTGAAAAGGCAGTCTCTGTATGTATCCCTGCTTGTCCTAGAACTTGGTATTCGACCAGGCTGGCTTCAAATTTAGAGATCTGCTTGCCTCTGCATCCTGAGTGCTGGGACTGAAGCCGTGTGCCCCATGCCCAGCTTGCCTCTGCGTCCTGAGTGCTGGGATTAAAGCCGTGTGCCCTATGCCGCTCCTGCAGCATTATTCTTGACTAGTTGATCGTACTTAAACATCGCTGATGCAGGCTGCTGATGGAACAGAAGGACACTCAGGAGGCTGTGACTGTAGAAATGGGTTTGAGAAAAACTGGGCGGTGGTGGCGCACGCCTTTAATCCCAGCATTTGGGAGGCAGAGGCAGGCGGATTTCTGAGTTCGAGGCCAGCCTGGTCTACAGAGTGAGTTCCAGGACAGCCAGGGCTACACAGAGAAACCCTGTCTCGAAAAACCAAAAAAAGAAAGAAAGA